ACATGGAGTAAATGGGCTGCACTAATTACACAACGAACTCGAATAGGAAATCCCAGTCGTCCAGGCATTCTAGAAGTCATCATGGACTGGCCAGAGGGCAAAGATTTCGGAATGTCACCAGAGGAGGAGGTGATGCGCGCTGAAGAGGCCCCACCATATAATAAACTGTCAGAAAGTGAAAAGCAGTATGCCTTGTTTACTGATGGCTCTTGCCGTATTGTGGGAAAACATCGGAGATGGAAGGCAGCTGTATGGAGTCCTGGACGACAAGTTGCAGAAACTGCTGACGGAGAGGGTGAATCGAGTCAGTTTGCCGAGGTGAAAGCCATCCAGCTGGCCCTGGACATTGCTGAACGAGAAAAGTGGCCAGTACTTTATCTCTATACTGACTCATGGATGGTGGCAAATGCCCTGTGGGGGTGGTTGAAGCAGTGGAAGCAGAGCAACTGGCAACGCAGAGGTAAACCCATCTGGGCTGCTGCACTGTGGAAAGATATTGCTGCCAGGGTGCAGAACCTGGTGGTGAAGGTACGTCATGTAGATGCCCATGTACCCAAGAGTCGGGCCACTGAGGAACACCAGAACAACCAACAAGTGGATAAAGCGGCTAAGATTGAAGTGGCTCAGATGGACTTAGATTGGCAACGTAAAGGTGAATTATTTTTGGCCCGGTGGGCCCATGACACTTCAGGCCATCAGGGCAGAGATGCAACATATAGATGGGCCCGTGACCGAGGGGTGGACTTAACAATGGACACTATTGCCCAGGTTATTCATGAGTGTGAAACATGTGCTGCAATTAAACAAGCCAAGCGGTTAAAGCCTCTTTGGTATGGAGGACGATGGTTGAAGTATAAATATGGGGAGGCCTGGCAGATTGACTATATCACACTGCCACCAACCCGCCAAGGCAAGCGCCATGTGCTTACCATGGTGGAAGCAACCACCGGGTGGCTGGAAACATACGCCGTGCCCCATGCCACTGCCCGGAACACCATCCTGGGCCTTGAGAAACAGATTTTGTGGCGACACGGCACCCCAGAGAGAATTGAGTCAGACAATGGGACTCATTTCCGGAATAACCTTATAGATATTTGGGCCAAAGAGCATGGCATTGAGTGGGTATATCACATCCCCTACCATGCACCAGCCTCTGGGAAAATCGAACGGTACAATGGGCTGTTAAAAACTACACTGAGAGCGATGGGTGGGGGAACTTTCAAGCATTGGGATACACACTTACCAAAGGCCACCTGGTTGGTCAACACCAGAGGATCTGCCAACAGGGCTGGCCCAGCCCAGTCAGAACTGTTACATATTGTAGAGGGGGACAAAGTTCCCGTGGTGCATATGAAGAATTTGCTGGGAAAGACAGTCTGGGTAATTCCTGCTTCAGGTAAAGGCAAACCCACTCGTGGGATTGCTTTTGCTCAGGGACCTGGATATACTTGGTGGGTAATGCGGGAAGATGGGGAAGTCCGATGTATACCTCAAGGGGATTTGATTTTAGGGGAAAACAGCCAGTAAACTCAATTGTATGCTGTTGCCTGCTGTGTAATGCTTTTATAGCCCATCAACTAGATGTCTCCAGGTCACAAGCGACTGGCCCTGACTTCCCTCCAGCCATCATCCCAACAGAGAATGAACTTTGAACATCATGGACCGAATGGACTCGGCAGCATTATAGGGATTGGTCCATGCACTAAGAAAATGATTTTTCCTCTTGGTCTGTATGTATATGGATGTATATGTGTGGGAAAGCGATGGTGTATTGAAAAATGTGGGATCTGAGCACGACGTGAATGGTATGGAATAAGGGGTGGATAATGTCCTGGGTTCCGCAGTAGCAGTCATGTTTTTCCTTTGTGTTAACTGGTACAGTGCTGTGTTTTGACTTCCAGTTTGAGAACAGTGTTGGTGAAGCCGATGTTCTCGGTTGTTGCTAAGTGATGTTTACCCTGACCAAGGACTCTGTGAGGCTCATGCTCTGCCAGGGAGGAGGGGAGGCTGTGAGGAAGCAGAGACGGGGCGCCTGACCCGGGCTAGCCGGGGAGGTATTCCATACCACAGCACGTCATGCCCGGGGTGGGGGGTAACTGGGAGTGACCCGGAAGGACAGGGGTTTCCGGGTGGAGCTCGTTTCTCTTGGCCGGTGGTATCGTATTCTCTTCCCTTGTTATTTTCCCTTATCATTGTTGTAGCTGATAGTAGCGGTGGTGATTTGTTGCTGGACTGTTTTTGTCTCAACCCGTAGGAGTTGCACTCTCTCGATCCTCCTCCCCGTTCCTCCGGGAGCGGGGAAGGGGAGAGCCCCGGTGCGGGGAGGCAGGGGGGGGAGACGGACACGGACCTCGATTGTTGTCAGCTCGGCACCACTCACTGGGAGTGAGTGAACAAGCTACCTGACTGGGTTTAAACCACGACACAGCAATAGTCCTGATTTAGACCAGCAGAATGGGAATTTTACAAGGGATCTCTACCTTTCTTTTCTCCTGCTCTATATTAGTAGAAAGAAAACAGAATATAAGTGATCTTCCAACCTGTTAGTGTCCTGCTCTATCGTCTTCCTGGGTTGCTTTTTTTAGTTTATTTTATATTTTTCTACAGAAAATCAGAAGCCCTCAGGGTGCAGGAATACCCAAATGCATGCACATTGTTCAGTTCCTAATAAATGGAGGAGTCCAAGATCTTTCCTCCTAACAGCTATGGCAGATACAAGTTTGGAGTCCATGAGACACAAACCATGAAGCAGAGCATATCTAATTACTATCTTAATCCAGAGCTGAAACAAAACTCTAAATCAGAGTTAATCAGTATATCAAGTACCATCCCTTCACAGGAAACTAATGTTAGCTTCCTTTCAATATTCAGCATTAATACATTTAATAAAATAGCTAGATCCTTACTCACCAAAGTATCTTCATAAGTTATTCTTTGTTTCCCTGGAACCTACTAGTCGGCTGTTTTCACCCTAATCCTTTTTACATCAAAGAAACAAATCCTGTTCTCCTTACACCCCAGCACACCTTACATCCTGTCTCCTAAGAGGACTCATCCTCTTGATGAAGGTGGTGCCCTCCCACTGCCACCAGCTGGCCCTCCAGCACCTGCCCAGCAGGGAGAGCCTTTAAATAGGGCACCCAGAGACCCCATGTAAAACACTGGCAGTATTGCTGCAGGCTGACTTGGGTGGGAGCGTTGCACAGGTAGCTCGCTAAGCAACAAGTTTCACAGGGTTGTGTTATTAGTAGATGCTATCACATGAAGTCAGGTAGAACCCACATATGCATGAGAGTGATTAAACTGATACTAATTGAATAGACTATTAAAACAGAAAAAAATACTCCAACAAACTCTCCTAATCTGTTAAGGAAATAAATACTGAAGAGAATGAATGAAAATTTATTATAAAGATCTGGGGGGGCATGAAGGAAATAAGGTTCTTAATCTTGCCATTTCACCTGGAGGACTAAAATGCTGGTCCCATGTTGCTATATTCTGTCTAAGAAACTTTATCTTCTAATATTAATAGCTGTCTCAACAGGAGATACTGATAACCCATCTTTTTGGTGCCTGCTGATCCTGGGGCTGCCTGGAGGAAGGATGGATCAGTGCAATTAGCACAAAGCTAAACTCATTCCTATTTAAAACTCACTTTTGCTCTAGGGTCTGTGCCAGCAATAAGCAAGAGCTCAAGTTAACACCAGCACTAGGTGTTAGCTTCCTTTTTAACCGGTACAGTGAATGTAAGACCAATGTTCTCTTGATGGCAAACAACGCTAGGAGATAGCTGGTGAGCAGCAAAATCCCAGTGAGCAGTGGGCACCAGTTCTCTGTTCCCACAGTCTCTGCATTCTGCTGTGCATTGACTGGGCATCCACTCAGGGGTTAGTGTACTGCCAGAGGGCTTTGGAGTCTGGCTATTTTCACTATTAGGGGAACTGAAAATCCAGCTGGCTCAATCAAACATCAAGTACCCTGTTGTGCTGAAGCCTGCTGGCCTGGTCTGAGCGGCATTCTGAGGGGTACCTTTTTGCTCCAAACTACTGAGTTGCTTCACCTCCTTATTGCCAGTCAGCAAGGGCAGAGCCTCTGTTGCTGAGGTGCCTGCTACCACCATACGCGCCATCTCTTCTCCCAGCATGATCACACACCTGATACCATATGAGACCAGTTATCCCAGACAGATACTTGTCTTTCATGGTATCCTAACATGGCACTTGAGAAGAACTCCAGGAAGAAGAAGAAATGATGGTCTCAGGGTTGTTGAGACTATATACATTTACAAAAATAAAAGACTTTTGTGTCTTGACCTGGTTTCCTTATCCTTGGGAGTGGGCAGAGTTGTGACCGCACATTCACTCTGCATCCAGACTTTGCGATGGTCTTTATTTACAGACCATCCCCACGGACCCAGACTGCATCAGTGTTGACTTCTAGATAGTAACCTTGCACCTGTGCACTGTACAAAATCATTGGAATGTTTTACTTGGAAATACTGGGCTGGGGCATAAGCCTTTTCACTGACTTCAGATTTCACCCTCATGGTTTAATTCCCCCCCTTTTTTTGTTCCAAATGGGTCTCTTGTTCCCAGTGATATTTTCTCATCTATTTCCTCTTCCACTAGCCACTTAAAACAGACTATTTGAAGATCACTTTAACTTCAGATTACGTAGTTTGTCTTCTGCATGCAAATCTCTTCAACTTGTACAAAAAGCTGCAGGATAACAGGCTCCTGATGCTGCACAACCTGGCAGGCAGCCTCCCATCCGTATGCCACTGAACTGTTGGAGCAAGAAGACAAATCAATACTAATTAATGGTCCCCTGGAAAGTAAATGATTGTTCACAGCGTGCAATGTAGCAAGGAATCCTGTAGGCTATTTTTGCCTTTGATTTATCATGTCATATAAGTAAGGGTTTATATGTGTAGCCTGGAACCTAGAATCTATTGCTTACAAAGGTCACAGCTTCTGTTGAGATAAAAGGAGCCTACAAACCTGGGAGAAGAGCTGGTGGCTTTTATTTGATGAATGCAGAAGATAAAGTGCTCATTTCAGCTGTCTGTTTGCTAATTAACAGCAGCTCCCAAGGACTGAAATGCACACAAATATATTCAAGAGCTCAATTATTTTGTGGAGTATCCAGATTGACCTCCCATTTCCTGCAGGAAGGATGCTTTTCTGATATTTGGCCTTTAGCAGAGAGAGCTAGAACAAGATAGCTAGAATAAGGGAAAATTAAGTTAAAAGTCAGAAATGTTGGCTAGTGAAGGTTGCCTCTCACAAGCTATAGCAGGAATATTGTGCTTTCTTGTGCCTGCACTAAAAGCTTTATGGAAGTGCTGAATCAATTGATGTCGCACCGGCTTTATGTGCAGCACCAGAGGGAAGGTTCAATAGTGGCCAGTTGTAGGAAAGGGATTGTTAAAATGTGTCAGGCAGATTTACAGATGGTCATTTAGCACTTTCAGCTTCTGGGAAATGAGTTAGTACCATTAGCAAAGGCAGGCCCTTCCTTTATTGCAGTCCCTTCCAGCAAGGTTTGTTCTCATGAAACATCAGCAATTTTATTTAATTGCTCTGTGAGAGTACATGATGATAGGAAATGGATCATTGTACGCTGGCTCAAATGCATGTTTGAGTGTTGTGCTGTATGAATGTCACTTCATTATAAGCATACATCATGAGTTTTGTTCAGAAAGCAGTATCGTGGGTTGCAGCGGTGATTACCTTCATTTTTGCAACACCGCAGGAAAACATTGGCTCATGTTATGCCCATGATTTTCTATAATCTTGGATCAATGGAGTTTCTATTTGTATTCCGCCTCTTATTTGTGCTGTTAATCACTCTTGGCAAATGTGCATCCTTCTGCTTGGTCCTGTAATATAAGGTTTCATGCAGTGTTTTCATACTATTGCTCCAACTTACCTTGCTGACTTGTTTCTAGTCCTGTCCTTAATGTACTTGTATGTCCTCCTACCTTTGTTTTCTAGACCTTTAGCAGTATAACTCTATTGAGAGAACTATTAATAAAACATTTTGAATACAGCCAACTTCCTGACAGTGGTCTGAGGAGCACATTAAGTACATTATTTTATCTTGACCATGAGCCACTGATAACTGCTACATTTTCATTAGTTTGCCATGTTTATTTGGCCTGTTCGTCCTGTGCCGTATCAGTTTCATGTAGAGCACACTTTCCTACCTTTTGAATGAGAGGTCTTCAGAGAAGCTACAAAGCCCGTTCTGTGATTTTAGATGGTGTTTATTGCTTCCTTTCTACCCACACCTGCAGCCCATTTAGAAAATGAGATGAGTTTGCTCTGAGAGGATTTGTAGTTGACAAATCCATTTTGACTCTGTCTTGTTTCTTTGTTTTCTTTCATGTGCTCACAAAGATTTTGTGCTTTCCAAGGTTTTTCTGTCATTCGAAGATAAGCTGACTGATAGACAAATCCCCGATTAGTCTTTGCCTTCCGTTCTTCGAAACTGAATGTATTTGCCCTTTTCCAGCCTTCAGATGCTTATTTACACTCCATGACTTCCCTAAAATAACCCCATTCTGATGTTAATTCTGCCATATTCTTTTGCAGTATCCTGGGATAAAATCCATCAGGCTCAGGTAGTGTGAAAACTTCCATGTTCTAAGTGTGCTGATGCCTCCTTGAGCATTTCCATGGAGAGATCCTACTGCTCTGCAGCTGCAGCTTGCACTAGCCAGTCTTTGCACTTTATCTCTCCTCTGGGAAATGCAATGCAAGACACAGACAACTTTGGCTTCCTTGGCTTTCTGTGCTGGTGATTTTCCTCCAGTTGCTAGTGGATCAGTAGTTTGCTGGTCTCTTTGTCTCTCAATGCATATTCAGATTTGCTTCTTGCTTCTCCTGTTCTTCTCTTGTAAAACCCTGTTCTGCACCTTCACTCTTTAAAATTTTCTCTCGTGCTCTTCTTTGATACTTGTCTCAGCAGCCTCATTTAGTCACTGCTTTCTGCGTGCATCTTCTCTGTGTTTAGGGTGAATAAAGAACTCGTACCTTTCCCCCACATTGCAAAATCTCTCCAGCTTCCAACTGTCCTTCTAATTTTGATGTGCTGAGAAGGTGTCAATGTCATGGCTTAATAAAGAGAGCTCAAGAGTGATGAGCTCTGCCCACTTCATTCTACTCACTCACCCATTAAAATCTTTTCCTTCTTTACAGCATCCTTAACAAAACATTTTAAAAGCAAACATACTTGAATCAAAGGGGCATGTAAAATTCTCACAGTAATTATTCCCTGTTTTTAATTCCTTTTGAAGGGAATTTTTAGAAAGAAACTTCCATTTGATCATTACTGTATAGAAAAGGAAAGCAAACCCAAATATCCTTCAAAAATATGAAATGGGAAGGATTTTTAGTGTTTCTTTTGTGTGTGGCCTGATCCTGCTCTCTTTAGTAGAAAGTAAGATGAGCACTCATCAGGGGAAACATAAGAACAAGTCACTTGCACTTCTCTCTCTGGTGCTGGCTCTTACTTGCAGCCTTGCTGTGGGAGAAGTCCAGGCACAGCACATAGAATCATAGAGTCATAGAATAGTTAGGGTTGGAAAGGACCTTAAGATCATCCAGTTCCAACCCCCCTGCCATGGGCAGGGACACCTCACACTAAACTATGGCACCCAAGGCCTCGTCCAACCTGGCCTTGAACACTGCCAGGGATGGAGCATTCACAACTTCCCTGGGCAACCCATTCCAGTGCCTCACCACCCTAACAGGAAAGAATTTCTTCCTTATACCCAATCTAAACTTCCCCTGTTTAAGTTTGAACCCGTTACCCCTTGTCCTGTCACTACAGTCCCTAATGAAGAGTCCCTCCCCAGCATCCCTATAGGTCCCCTTCAGATACTGGAAGGCTGCTATGAGGTCTCCACGCAGCCTTCTCTTCTCCAGGCTGAACAGCCCCAACTTTCTCAGCCTGTCTTCATATGGGATGTGCTCCAGTCCCCTGATCACCCTCGTGGCCTCCTCTGGACTTGCTTTGAGCTATCATGCCACGATATGACAAATATGTACAAACACCCCTATGGTGCTGGTAGCTGCTTTTTGTGCCTTAGCCACCCAGCAGTGTGGTTAAAGACACTCCTCTGATGGTGAAATGGAAAAGGAATAGATACATGGGTGGAAAGGTCACAGATGAAATGACGGAGAGGATCCCATTCCTCACATTTACTGCTCAGGATGTTATGAAAAGACAGAGGTCCTTCAACACTGCCTGCTGAGGGAACAGTGGAAGATCAGGAAGCCTGTCACTGCTTTAGCAGCTACAAATCTCTACCCATGCTTTCTCAACCCTCTTAGCTAGGACACCAAAATGGGGCAGGGTAGGAGAGCATGCGCCACTTATTTTCTTCAGATTATGTTTAGATATTAAATTACTTCATTGTCTTTAGCCCATTCTTGTTTTATTACCCTATAGGTTTACATGCTGAGGTGGCCACTGATGGCTCCTGGACAATCCAGGTGATGCTGCAAGAATGGGACCCTGCAAGGGGTACAAAGACCTCAGTCTGAGTCAATATTAGTGAAATACTAACATGAATTACAGCATGTCAGTAAATGCTTCCTAGAGAGATAATTTACTTTTCCAATCGAGATCTTTCAAAACTCTTCTTCCTCAAAATGCAAACCAGAAATACAGACACAAACACAAAACAATACGGACAGATGAATGAGCAAGAGCCCAGCTTAATTTTAAGGGATTGTAAACAGACTCTAGCAAGGACTTCAATATTAGTCATGATAATACCTTTAATATTAAAGTTAAAATACCATTGACCAAGCCCACCACCTGCTTTCCCTCTGAAGGTTTTCTGAGTTATCCCAACAAAAAGGAGGCTACAAGCTCATTGACAAATACAGGCTGAAAACATGACGTTGGGAAAATTCTCTTAAGTTTGCTTACCATGAGAATCTTTAATGTTTTTCAATCAATTGAAGTGAACCTGATGTTTAGATGTTCACATTTAATTACTTGTTTGAGTAATTAAAATGATTAAAGCTGTCTTGAAATCCAGTGTTTTGCAATAACGCTTTGAGAACAGCTCTTCTCCTCCTAGTTGTAAAGTGAAAAAGTGGGTTTCTTTACACTTTTCACAAGTTATTAACTACGGAGCCACACATTTGGGCACTTCAGGCCTCACAGAAGAGACATCTTAAAACACCCAAAACTGCAGCTCTCTGCTGTCCTACCATGTACATCAGCCCTTGCTCGCGTGGCTCAAGCTAGCCATGATCTCGCTTGTAGAGCAATGGGTGCTCTTCCACTGCCACCTTCTGGCCACGACCAGCAGGAGTTGAGCGAGATGCTAATGAAAGAATTATAGAATCATAAAAACATAATGAACAAAAGATTGAGTCAAGTGTCCTTTAATTTCTTCCAGCAAAAAGCCCCCTCACCGTAGATGTCCTCTTCTGGTCAGAACTCAAAATACAGTAGTTTTGTATAGACCTCTAATCTTTTTAGCAGTCTGAGTTTCCACTTAAAATCCAATGCTATGAGATAGACACCATGAGCTAACCGTACAGAAGGCATGTTCAGCTATACACAGCTGAAATTTGAGTTATTACAAAAGTAAAACCATGATGTTCATCTGAAAGTGAAGGAAAGGTCTATGTCTATCAGTGACTGGCTATGTCCCAGCTAAGCAGAGCAGGAACAGCTTACACCAGCATAAAAAAGCTGCTGTAACAATTGTAATGTATTTTCTAATATTCAAAGCTTTATTTCTGCGCTGTATTTTAGGGTATTTCTTTCTTAGTTTTTGTATTCCTGTGATTCTCTGTATTGTCTCAGATGCTTACTGGGGATGTGATGACATTTCTAACATGAAGAGGTGGATTTTTTGGCCAGGGCTTCTCCCTAAGAAAGCTGATCACAGCCATGCTGGAACATTGTACATCCCTGTGTTTTACTCACATGAAGTACCTTTGTTCACACACAGATTTAACCCTGTTCCTGTTCTTTTGCAGAGCTTTGGTTGTGCATCTGCTGGGACATAGTCTAAGCAATTCATCTGTCTCTGGAAGCCAACTATGGGTAAAATTCCTCTGTGGGTG